TGTACTGTACTGTGTACTGTACTGTGTACTGTACTGTGTACTGTACTGTGTACTGTACTGTGTACTGTACTGTGTACTGTACTGTGTACTGTACTGTGTACTGTACTGTGTACTGTACTGTGTACTGTACTGTGTACTGTACTGTGTACTGTACTGTGTACTGTACTGTGTACTGTACTGTGTACTGTACTGTGTACTGTACTGTGTACTGTACTGTGTACTGTACTGTGTACTGTACTGTGTACTGTACTGTGTACTGTACTGTGTACTGTACTGTGTGCTGTACTGCACTGTGTACTTTACGGCACTGTGTACTGTACTGCACTTTGTACTGTACTGTACTGGATGCAATACTGTACCGCTTTACACTGTGAAGTTTAAAGTGTAGAAATTACGTACTCACTATTTATCCTTGCATGCTTAGCAAACACGTTTTTATTTTATTTTTGTCATATTTAATACGTAAGAGAATTATAAGGGACAAAAAAAGGTTTTATCTCATTAATGTTGAAAAATAAAATGAACCCAAACCCCACCTTATATGTTTGCTTGCCCCTGTTTATTTAAAAGCGTGGGGGACTGAAGCCTATGCTTGACCCATGCAAGATCTAGGCATAGTTAGCTTGTTAGGCAGTAATACTTTAGAAATCTAGAAGCTTTTTCACTATGCACCTTTTTTATTGGGGAGGGTGGCGGAGAAATCCCACATAACCTTCATCGTTGGGGGTTTGACATTAAATTTTAATGTCGGCATTAATAACATTTAAAATGGTAGATGGGTCAAAAATATTATTTTAAGATTAATAATTAAAGATTAAAAATAATTATATTGTAAAAAATGAAATTGCATCATTCTGAATAAGAGAGATATGAATGTTGCAACTGCCTGACTGTTGAAGAAGAATCCAAGACCAGGCCCTCCACCAACTAGAGATTTTTAAACCCATATCTAACATCCTAAAATATAAAATTCAAAAATTTGAATCACCATATTAAGCCATATCAAATAGATTGTCAAGTACAATAGATGGCAACGAAGAATTTGTACACTCTCAGTACAGCTGTATTCTTACGCCACAAGTGTCAACTCAGTTTTTGTGTCCGACAACATTATTATTAATCGTGTTAACTTTAGATATAAGTGCTTATCTTACAGTGAAATAAGTTTAATTTTTTGTGCTCTTTATTTTCTGATTTTACACTTTTTTATTTAAAGTAATCAACTAATGTGAGAACATATCGTTTTCCTTGTTATATTTGACACTTGTGACGTCGTGTATAAGTGGCCCATTTCTGTGTTGCCACCAATTGTACTTGATCTATTTATTTTATTTATTCATATTACAACCAACAAGTATTCTGCATGGTATTTCCGTATTTATTATTTTTATCATAAAATTCAAACAGGCCCGTAGCTAGGAATTTTCAAAAGGGGAGGAGAAAAATGAAGATACATGATGAAGGGAAAAGGGGGGCACGTGTCCCTGTGATCTGCCCCCCCCCCCCTCCTCACTGGGTATGGCCTATTATAACTATTTAAATCCTCTATCTTTAATAAATTACGAGTGATCTTTTTTTAAATTTTAATAAAAATTATGAAAGTTAGAAAGTCGCCATATCACTACCCGCCACCGTGGCGTCACTTTAATAGCACCTAGTGCAAGTGGCCATAAATGGCGTTTTTTATTACTAAATTTAGGATAAATAGATGCTTAAAGTAAACCTGAGTTGTTCAGCATAAATAGCTTCTCTTTCCTCCAGCTCCCTGATTAGCTGCTCTTGCTCCTAGAACACCAAGAAACTAAATATTGCATGCCGCATTTCATATTTCAAATGACGGAATAACTTTTTTCAACCTGATGTTGTACACATTTTATCATGTAAACTTTAGTTTTCAATTTAGCAGAATCGAAAGCTTGAAATAATGAAGGTCTAAGCATACAATTGGAATAGAAAATTACAATTTGCAAGAACATTTCGTGGAAAATAAATATCTATTATCATTATTATTATTATTATTATTTCTACCTGGAGATGCATCTGAATGGCCTCCATATCCTCCATGTTCCTCTCCTCCCTGGAGAGGGCATCCTCCAACTGCATCCTCAGATCCTCACTACTCTGCCTCTCATGAATCAATTCATCCTAGATCAGATATAAAGAGTTAAAGATAAATGAATTTAAAAAGATTGTTCAATATTAAAAAAAATAAACAAAAAAGTATAATTTTGGAACTATCTCTCTTCAAAACATAATGGTTAGATTTACAGATAGAATCCAGCTTTCTGGTCCAGAATTTCCTATATCTTTGCAACACAATGTCGTAGACCTTAGATATTTCTAACAATATGTATTTTCTGTTATATTAAATAATCTAAATTCAGGGGAAGAAAGTTCCATACCGTGGTTTGGCCCAGACCTGACTGCACTGAGTGTCACGTTTTGGGGGCCAAATGTGCAAAGTTATATTTTTTAATGTTAATGTTAAGTTAATGCTACATTTTTTACCAAAAATCTAAATACTAAACCCCTACGAATAACTTAATTAAGTTAAATTAAATTCCAATTTTTGATGATAATTGATTTCATTTTAGAGCATGTCACATTTTTGAAGCAAATGCAAAGTTTGGTCGCAAAACACGTTTTGGAATATGTCGCATTTAACAGATTTAATTCAATAATATTTTCAAACATTTACACAATTTGGTAACAAAACAATTAAGTTTAATGTATATTGTAGGATTTAAATAATAAACAATATAAATGTAAACAATATGTTCTGTTTTGATATTTCAAATATAACGACTTAAAACATTGAAAGATTCTAATCATAATGTTATTATATTGTTTTTACAACCAAATTGGACAGAAAAATGCGGGAAATTTGTTATTGAAAATGGAGGAAACTTGAAATCATGATATCATCTGCAAGTATTTAAAAGTATAATGTTATTGAAAATGGAGGAAACTTGAAATCATGATATCATCTGCAAGTATTTAAAAGTATAATGTGCCAACAAATTTTAGAATAATTTAGAAGATACAAATATTTTCATTGATTCATGCTATTTTGTAAATTATGAAAGTTAATTGATTCAAAAATGGATTGAGTTTCTATTGAAAATCAACGCTCATTCACAGTTTAATTTTGAGAAAAGAAGTAAATAGTGTTATTTGTAGTTTTCGTCGTGCTTAATAATATGTTGGAAATAGTTTCTTTAATTGATATTTGGTCATTGCACAGGAAGAATTACTAAAACGTTGATCATAACTCACTCAGTGTCAGGTTTGGAACATAAGCACGGTTTGGAACTTTCTTCCCCTGAAGTTTAAAATATCAAAGGTTTACACCGTCAGGTTGCAAAGTTAAGGAGATTAGAAAATTTAATGTTGTGGCAAAGACTCAACTCCTTTTTACCTTGATAATTTGACTTCGTTCCAAAGCCCCAGCGTACTGCATCTCCAATCTAAATAAGATGATATTCACTCAACAGTACTGCAATGAAGACAAAAATAAGATAATAAAACTCTTATATATGAATTGAAATAAAAATATTGCAATGTTTTGAGTACAACATAACAAAATACTTTATGCAAAGTACAATGTAAACAGTACATTATTTTAAGTACAATATACACAATACTTAATAAAGATACAAAAAATGATTGCAAATTTAATTGTATTTATATCTAATATTTGTACAATAATTATATCAAATTCTGAAATAAAATAAGTAATTCAGATAAACATATTTAAATTTAACATTTTTATAAACAATGCCATCTCCTTATTGTGCTGCCAGAATATTCATATCTGATTTGTGAACAATGGTTACATTTTTAATTCAATCTTTTTCATTTGTATCTTTAATTCCTTAAACATCAATCTATCTTGAACCCTGCCTGCGGCTGTAACTAGGTTGTTGAAAATGTGATCTTTGATCTGAAAGATCATAAATAGAACGGATAAATATACATCATCACAACAATTTGTTTCAACTTCAATGCTAGTTTGAGAACTCAGGGTGTCCCACAAATCCATAATGATCCAATTTTTAATGTTTATTGTATGTAAAGATATTCTTTTAAAACGCTATATATTTGCTCACTTTTTTGAAGTTACTGATTTTTAAAGTTTTCCATTTTATAATTTTCCTTCAGATTTTTTTATATTACGATGATTTGTCTCAAATTTAAAATGTTATCATTGATTTCCTAGAAAAAAACCTATAACTTTGATAGAAAGGGGGTTCACTAAAGCATAAAAACCTATAACTTTGATAGAAAGGGGGTTCACTAAAGCATAAAAACCTATAACTTTGATAGAAAGGGGGTTCACTAAAGCAAAAAAAATGATGCGAAGGGATTGACTCTAATTTTCTAATCCCTATATCTTTGCAAGCAATGTCGTGGACCTTAGACATTTCAAACTATAGAATTCTGTCAGATCAAATAATCTAAGGTTGAGATATCAAAGGTTTACACCATCAGGTTGCAAATATATTGAGATTAGAATATTTGTTGCAAAGAATCAATATTCTTTAACGGCACATCAATTGAAGTTCAGGTTTACGTCCTGGACGTTTAATAAAAACTAAAATGCTAAATATTTTGAGAAAAAAACTATTTTTAGTAAACCCTCTATGCGCAGTTTACAACAATCTGTTTCAACTATTACCCAAAGGAAGTATGGCGTGCACACTCATAAATATTTTCAGTTGTTGATAAAGATCTTGAAGCCTGGTGAATTATTACAGATTAATCCCGTATTAAGGTGTATAGGGCCCACCCAGGCTAGATATATAGCTTAACAAGGTTAAGTATACAGTGTACACATATTGTTGTGAAGTTCAATCCTTATCTTTATTATTAATCTTTAATTTAACTTTTTATATTTATTATTTATGGACTCACTCATCTTTCATGCTCCATTTTAATTACTTCAAATACATTGCTTCATAAAAACTAATTGTGCACTACAAAAGTGTACATTTGAATAAAATTATAATTATATGGGCGCCTTTTTTAATCTTTTATCAAAATATAAAAAGACAAAGTATCAAAATTCAAAATGTCAATTTAACTTTAAAATCAAGAAATGTCAATTTAACTTTAAAATCAAGCAATGTCTTTACTTTAAAATCAAGCAATATCAATTTAACTTTGAAATCATGCAATGTCAATTTAACTTTAAAATCAAGCAATGTCTATTTAACTTTAAAATCAAGCAATGTCAATTTGACTTTAACATCAAGCAATGTCTTAACTTAAAAATCAAGCAATGTCAATTTAACTTTGAAATCAAGCAATGTCAATATAACTTTAAAATCAAGCAATGTCAATTTAACTTTAAAATCAAGCATGTCTATTTAACTTTAACATCAAGCAATGTCTTAACTTTAAAATCAAGCATTGTCAATTTAACTTTAAAATCAAGCAATGTCAATTTAACTTTAAAATCAAGCAATGTCTATTTAACTTTAAAATCAAGCAATGCCAATTTAACTTTAAAATCAAGCAATGTCAATTGAACATTAAAATCAAGCAATGTCAATTTAACTTTAAAATCAAGTAATGTAAATTTAACTTTAAAATCAAGCAATGTCAATTTAACTTTAAAATCAATAATCCCAATTTAACTTTAAAATCAAGCAATGCCAATTTAAATCTAAAATCAAGCAATGTCAATTTAACTTTAAAATCAATAATGCCAATTTAACTTTAAAATCAAGCAATGTCAATTTAAATTTAAAATCAAGCAATGTCAATTTAACTTTAAAATCAAGCAATGTCAATTTAACTTTAAAATCAAGCAATGTCAATTTAACTTTAAAATCAAGCAATGTCAATTTAACTTTAAAATCAAGCAATGCCAATTTAACTTTAAAATCAAGCAATGTCAATATAACTTTCAAATCAAGCAATGTCAATTTGACTTTAACATCAAGCAATGTCTTAACTTTAAAATCAAGCAATGTCAATGATTTAACTTCTTCGTATTTAAGTGCAGTAATATAAAGAATGGGAATAGGATCGATTAATCTTGAAGTAGAAAGGGACTGTACACGTATTTACAAATTCCTTCCATTTATTGAAGAATAATAATATCTCAGTGATCCTTGATGCAAACAAAGATGTAGATGGTATCATTTTAAATCGGACATGATACTATTTTTATAAAGAGTAACAGTTTAGAATACGTCTACGGTTCCTTTAAGACCTTAAATAGATCTCACATTATGTTCTTGCACAAGCTTAAGATGGAGTAATTATGAAGATAATAAAAAGATTTAATTGATAATAATTTAGGAACAGTTTCAACTTTTAAAGACCGAAAATGGGGGTGTTAAGGGGGGGGAATATTGCTCAAAAGGTTAATTTTAGAAAAGACTATTCCGATATATTTTAGCTTTCGTCAATTTTTTTTTGCGAAAATAGTCTCTTTAGCATATACTTAACAATTTACATTCCTAATCAGCTTTTTGAAATTCAAATATTTGTGGCTTCTAGGAGACTCAACAAAATCTTTTGGGTCTGTTTCAATTTTTTTCAAAAATTTTATTCAAAATGCCTAATTTTTCTTGGACAAACATAAAAGCCTTAACAAAAAGGAATTGTTCATTTAAAAACAAATAATTGGGAGATACCCTGCGTGCAGGTGGTCCCGTTGATCATAAAATTGGACATTTATGCCACATTCTTTAATTCATGAGAATAATTTATCAAGCAAAATTCATATTTTATTGTTAATGACCTAGATTAATGGGCAGTTAAACAAAGTGTTCTGTATTGTATTCCACTTAACTGTTTCAATTATCAAATTATACCTTTCAAGTGTTAAACCATGACCAGTCTCTTTCAATATAAAGATATAAAGACATTTAATCCGGTGTTTCAGAAGGGTTGACATTCCACTGAGTTCTTATTTAGTTCCACCCTAGACATATAATCCTTATCCCCCGTCCACCCCTTTTACCTTCCCCCGTTACTCCACCCCTCGATACACCCCCCCCTCCTCTTCCCCCTGTTCTGGCCTAAAGATGACCTGGCGCCCTTTTTTGCCCTTCTTGCGAAGTTTTGGGTAAAACTGTTAATATATCTTTTTGTTCTTTATTGTTATATTCAGGAATGAGGGGTTGGCAAAATACAGGGTTAAACTAAACACCTTAAAAAATGTTTAAAAATCAAATCAATTTAATATTTTTCTTTAATATAAGTACAATTACTGGATTTTAATGCAAAGAAGATATTTTGATTAATAGTTGTTAAAAAAAACTTAATTGGTCACAAGAATTTAAATATGAGAACTGATACTGTAGAGCTATAGTACTGTTAAAGAATGTAAAGCATAAAACAGGCAATACTCAGGCATACAGATACTGCATGAAGAATAAGGCCAAAAACGGCCTGAATACTCTGATTTGATCTCATATTTTACAATTCAAATTTTTTCCTGACTTTTACACGACTTTAACCGTAGAATTGAATTGAATTGAAACTGGTAGGAATGCGGGGTTTTGTGTGTACAATGTGAACTATAATTGGTTTTGCGGATTTATCAGATTATATAAACATTGCTTGGAATTAAAGCAGACAAATCTATCAAATTTGGAATGACAAATCCACAACATCCATTGGGACAATTAACAACATTGCATTAACCGTTAATTCATTCATTCATTTACTAGTATGCAACTTAATTCAATCGGACTAACTAGACGGAATTTGTTTCAAAAGATTCAAATTATTTCTGGATGTATGAGATGAAAAGAATTACTTACGTCTGGGCTTTTAATCTACTGTCATTCTCAGCTTCTTCTAATTCACACCGCTCCTCAACAACCTACATAGTTTAGTTCAGTTTAGTTTAGTTTAGTTTAGTTTAGTTTAGTTTAGTTTAGTTTAGTTTAGTTTAGTTTANATCATACATAATCGAGAGACATTCCGTGCAACCTAATTGTATACTTAGGAAATATAGATGCATAATTCATATATATAATATATAGATATATATATTAATAATTCATCTATAATTCCTATGTATACAATTATGTTTAAACTTTTAGCATAAAATCTCAAATAGTCTTATCCTAAGATTAGTGTTCTGCTAGGTCTGAATATTGTCCTTATATTTTTATATATGTATGTGAATATACGAATATATCTATATATAATCTTGTTGACATGTATCTATAATAAATCCTTGTATGCATCTCTAGTTCTGTTTGTTCAACAATTATCAATCTATTAAACATAAAGGTTCCATTAGAGTTCACGGAATAAAAACACTTGAACCTTATTGGCATATAGATAGATAGATAGATAGATAGATAGATAGATAGATAGATAGATAGAATATAAGACACAAACGTAAGACAAATATAGAAAATGAGATATGGATTAGGAAGAAGAAAGACATAATATTCATAAAATCAAAAAAAAATAAAGTACCATTTTTAAAAGAAAATACGTTAATTAGGATTTTGTCAGTAGTTTTAAAAGTTATACAACAAATGTTTAGAGCTGTGTTTGTATATATGACCTCAAATATATTGTTAGGATTACCTTTTTGCACATTTTCAAATGTCAAAGCCCAACAAAGCTTTATTTTATATCTATCTTTCATCTTTGGATATTTGAACGGCGCTTAAAATCGGTAATAAAGTGTCTTTTTGTTCAATGCTTATAGCGTACTTAGGCTTCTTGAGCGACAACTGACGCGCTTTAAAATCAAGGCTTTGGCCTAAAAACCAGATACTTTTAAAAATATTGGCTTAGCTTAAGAGACCCGAGAATTTCCGGTATTAAGGATCTTTTCTTGATTCCAATTCTGTCAATACTCGAAGTATACATAATAAAATCTCGTGACAAGTTTTCTGTATTGATGGTTCAGATATCACTAGGTCTGAATATTGGCTTGGCCATGAATTTGCGAGAGGTATCCTGCTGAGTTGTGTGTTCAAGATTTAGCATCTCTTAACTTTCTATAGTTTACCAGGTTTACCAGGTTTACCAGGTTTACCAGGCTTACCAGGTTAGCCAGTTTTACCCGGTTTACCAGGTTACCCAGGTTTTCCAGGTTTACTGGGTTTAATAGGTGTTTACTGGGTTTACCATGTTTACCAGGTTTACCAGGTTTACCAGGTTTACCAGGTTAACTAGGTTTACCAGGTTTACCAGGTTTACTAGGTTTACCAGATTTACCAGGTTTACCAGGTTTACCAGGTTTACCAGGTTTACCAGGTTTACCAGGTTTATTAATGACTGATGTAAGCCCTAATGTTCTGTGCGAGTTAATGAGTCAATTTTTAAAGTGTCTGAATTTAGGATCATTTGGGTCTGATATCTGACAAAATTTTGCAAATTATATTTTTCTGAAGAACCTTCCTGAAAATAAACATTGCTCTAAGCTCTAATTGCCCATTTTTGATAGTTTTCTGATCTGATATACAAGATCTTAACCATGGATATATATCTAAAGTATTTACAAGGTATAGAAATTGTCAATGTGAGTATACGAGTTATATAAACAATAAAAAATATTGTATAAAGACGTAGGAATTTTCCTTGGCAAACATGAAAATTGTTACATTTTATCCATTTTCTGAGTGGTTCTAATTTGTGTCAAAGTAAAATATACGCAAATCCGGTTCCCTCCCCTTACTTCTACTCACTTTGGAATGTGTTGTATCTATGTTGTGTATATAGTATGCCCCCATATAATATATATCCATGAATTATAATCAATAAACTAAGTTTAAGATGTGTATCAAGAATTATTTATGAGATCAAGTGTCGTTACACTTTTATCATGTCGTAAATAGTTTTATCATGCATTTTATGCTTTTAATGTCAAAACATATTTGTAGACTAGTGTGATATATGCCAATCGTAACATATTTCAATCATGTTTTCTATGTCTAAACTATGTCGTTATTTTTTTTGATCATGCTGTTATATATTTCTATCATGAGCTTTTATATTTTAAACAAGTTTAATATCCAATGAATATAAATGACGACAAAAATGTTTCTTAAATCATGAGGGTGTCAAAAATATTTATTTGACACACAAATATGACTATTTCAAGATTAATTTAAGCCGGCCGTCTTTAAATGTCTTATTTACTATTTAATGGTTTGGCAAAGAAAAAAAAAACACTTTTACAGTTGCATCAGATCATGAATATAAGGAAATAGACAGTATAAATATCGTACAGTCTTTTGTGAATAACTCTGTATATTGTCGTGTGCTTAATGTCCTTTGTTAAACAATACACGTTTTTGTTAACTTTTCCTTTCAGGTCTTAATTGGTAGAGTTTGGGAAATATTTAATTAAAATGTATTCAATTTTCAATAGAAGGGGATCATTCATTTGGCGTTCTGTCCCATTTTGCCAATTATAATGTCTGTATTTATACTATTTGCTTTGGGTGATTAGAAGGCGACCCTGTACTTGAAATGTACCGAAGTTACAGAGTGGTTGAATGTTGTTTTGCCGGATGAATCCGTCAATATTTAACAATGAAAAATCCTCCAAAAGATTGTTGACAAAAAAGTGTACTGCACTTTTGGGTAACGAATAGATACGATCATACGTACGAGTACAAATTCTTTCGAAAAAAAGAGTATATATTTTGACCTACTTATTTTTTAATGGTTGCATTAAACACATTCAGCTTAAAATGATAAAAATGTCAAACCTGGTTGAATTTATTCTTTTGAGCTCTTCGCAGCTTCCAAATTTATCCAAGCTGCTCTTTTGCTGGCTGCTTCTATCTGATAACTGCTCATTGTACTCTTCCTCTCTATCTTCATCAATCTGAACATGAAGGTGTCACACAATGCTTTTTAGTTTGCATCATGTCCTTTTCAGGCCATCTTCATGTGTACAAGCAATAGATTCAAATCATGCAATGTTATCCTCAACTCAGTTGGTTTTATCACATTTCTTCTCCTCCCCTCATTCCATTCTTTAATCTCATTTCAGAGAATATATACGACCACAGAGTGATTATCAAGATTGTTTTGAATATCTGATTGGCGGCCATATTGGTTTGATTTGGTTTGGTGGATTTTTATATAAATTCGCCCCTCCCCCTGATTGGCGACCATTTTGGTTTGATTTGGTTTTGGTGTATTTTTACACAAATTCCCTGATTGGAAGCCATTTTTGTTGGATTTGTTTTGGTGGATTTTTGTTTGATTTGTTTAGTGGATTCTGGTTTGATTTGATTTGGTTTTTATACAAATGTACCCCTCCCCCTTAGAGTAAGGAGAGTGGCGTCAACACCCGTTAATTGGTTAGTTTGTGGTTGTAAAGTCCTAATGCTCTCATGAAACATGGGCGTTTACGGATAAAACATCACGGTTAAACCTCTAGAAGTAGAAAGATGGATATATACAGATGAAGAGAAGTAGAAAGACGGATAGATAGAGATGAAGAGAAGTAGAAAGATGGATAGATAGAGATGAAGAGAAGTAGAAACATGGATATATAGAGATGAAGAGAAGTAGAAAGATAAATAGATAGAGATGAAGAGAAGGAAAAAGATGGATATATACAGATGAAGATAATTAGAAAGATGGATAGATAGAGATGAAGAGAAGTAGAAAGATGGAAAGATAGAGATGAAGATAAGTAGAAAGATGGATAAATAGAGATGAAGATAAGTAGAAAGATGGAAAGATAGAGATGAAAAGAAGTTGAACGATGGATAGATAGAGATAAAGAGAAGTAGAAAGATGGATATATACAGATGAAGAGAAGTAGAAAGATGGATATATACAGATGAATAGAAGTAGAAAGATAGGTAGATAGAGATGAAGAGAAGTAGAAAGATGGAAAGATAGAGATGTCATGATGAATGTTAGGAACGCCCTTTCTGTGTTTTATAAACAATACCTGGGGCTCAAGCCGTGAGAAGTTATTTATTTCAAGTTCAAGTTCAACAATATTCCTTCCTTTCATGCCATCTTGAACCTTCTCCTCCTCCTCCTCCTTCTCCTCCTCCCTTTCCTCCTTCTCCTCCTTCTCCTTCTTCTCCTTCTTCTCCTCCTGCTTCCGGAGCAAGGATTTCTCCGTGTTTGACTCCAATAGGAGGGATGAATCAGATGTCTGCTCAAAAATTCCACTTTCCTCCATTTGCTCTTCCGCTTCTTTATAATCAACCTAAAGTGAACCGAATCAGCTTAATTAAAGCTGGAGGATAATTTGCTTTGAATAAATTAAAAAAAACGGAAAATTTGTGAAATCAATAGTGTATTATGTTTAAAAAAATGTTTATTTTCTTCTTTTTTCAACTAATTTAAAGAAATGGGAAGAGGGGGGGGGTTTAAACAATTGTATATTTGTATATTTTGACACAACCCTTTATGATCCCCACACTAACAGTAATAACACTAAAATTTTATTCATCTTTTTACTCTTAAAATTACAGGTCCCTAAAGGGAACGGTGCCAAAAAGGGCAAAAATAACAATCTGAATTTAAATAGAACTGCAAGAACTACAACCTTAACCCTAAACTCCAAAAACCTAAAACTAAAAAGAAGGCTCTAAATTAAATTATAAAAAAGAGGAAAAGACCATTTTAAAAAAGGCCGACCTATTGTTGAATACGTGTTCTCGTGTAATAATTTGACAATACAATAACAATGATACATTTAACCCAGTTTAACCCTGTGTATTATCCAAATTATCCCCCCCCCTCCCTCTATTCCAAACTGTTCTATACTGCAAGCATATACAGCATATGGGGGGGGGATATTGGGTATCTTTAAAGCAAAGTTTATTTTGTCAAGACTTAAACCTGATTTCAAGTCACCCTCCATGCAAAAATCAATATAGATATCAATGTTTTTGCTTTGTATAAACTGTTTATTTTCATTAGCAGTTAGTCTACGAAAGTCACTTGCGCATTTCTTGCTTAAAGAAAGAAATAGAAATAAAGACTTTTCCATTTCACCTTTTTATCAGATTAAAGGTTTAAGGGTACCGTTGTATTTTGGACATCTTTACACGGAGAGTCACTTAAAATTACGCTTACAGTCCCTTTAATCGTACCTTCTGTTGATAAAGACGCTGAGAATGATGATGAAGATGATGAAGATCTAAATCACTGCTCTCGCTGTCTGATATATCTGAGGACACCCCTGAGCTGGTCTCCTTACTGGAAACCTGGAAAATATTACATGAAACTAAACTTTTTAGTTAACAATCTTACAATATTTCAAACACACTCAAGAGCTAATGAAAAATAATTTTGGTTTTAGATCATTAAATGCATTTTTTTAGGAGGTCGCAAATGAAAAAATAAAATAACGTCAAGCCCCCCCCCAAGTTTGACCACTTTTTGAATGATATAGACAACGTTTTTCATGTAGCATATTTTCATTAAACTAAATGTAGTATCATCAACACAAAAGTATTATTTCGTCTAATCCATGCCATGCCATAGGACCGGTTTATGCAGTACAGGCATATATATTCAAACAAATGCATCCTATCTGCATCGGAATATTGTCAGTGTGTTTTCATCTCTTATTAGATTCCGTTAAAAAATAGCGTTATAGACATATCCGGCCTTAAATATTCAAAATTCCTGGTCCAACACAAAAGTGTAAAATTGCAAATACGTCAAATCTTCATTTATTGAGTGAAAATGTGTTTCAAAGTTAATGCTAACTGAACTTTTTTAGTTCACTGGATCTATGTTACAAACTATTTTTGTCCACATATTTCAGATTCTTTTTATATTTTCGTGTATAGGTGTAGCTAGTATTTAGTAATACAATAAGATAGAGAGAGATAGAAGCAACTTTAATTTGTAAAATAATGGCGTGTGGGATTTCATACATTTTTTGTGTCAAAGCGAGATTATAAATCCGCAAAATACAACTATTAAAGCTGTAAATTGGACTTTTTACCTTTCTAACCAAGGATGTTATTATAGAGTAAAGGATGGAATCCTGCAACTTGGATAAATGGATTGGACACGAGGGCGGGGGGTGTTTTGTGTTAATGTTATTAGCTGATATTTAGAATTACAAATTCCAAGTTAAATTTACCGAAAATTTCAGATTTAAAGAGAGTGTCATTGTAGTTTTAGGTAGATTCACAAGGGCACCCTTCAAAATTCTATTTGATTAATAATGTGGAAGATATTGTCGTTTTTCTAGCTTGTATAGCTGTTCATTTTGACAAGTTCCTCCTTTGTTTTTGCAGCAAATGTAATTAGAACATGGAGAGCCACTAGAAATCACGTCTACAGTCCCTTTAATAGATTTTACCTTTGAATTAAAGTCTCCTGATTCTACGCTTTCCCTCCTGTTTCCTTTTCTGTACCCTCCTTCTTCTATTTTCTTAACTTCCTGTTCTTTCATCCTGTTCTCCTGTTCGTCTAATCTTGAATGCTGTTCCTTTATAATTCTTTCTTGATGAGAATACCGTTCCAGCACATCCTAAATATAGTTAAAAAGAAATAAAAACAGTTTTCAAATTCTTAAATTTTGATAATTTAATCCTCCTCCTCTCCTACCATCTGATGTCGTGGACCTTTCAAACTAATAATTCAGATAGATCAAATTTTGAAAAATCAAATGTTGACATTATAATAGTCCAAATTTATTGAACAGCGAGAAATAGTTGAACTACGTAGACCACTTTGTTTATTAGGTCTGGGCCCGAATTTAATTAATTTGAGCTAAGTCCCTGAACTTCCTACTACTGGTTCAAATTTAAACCAACGACTGTAAGTTAAAAATTGAGTAAAAATTTATCATAAATACTAGTTCCAGTTCCTAAATGAGATATCCTTGATCATTCTGTTCTTTATTTCGAACAAACTTTTTTAATTCTTTTAGTCGTTGGATATCACGCGTCGGAGAAAAAGCTAAGGTTTTTACCCACTCTAAACATTGTGTACTGCAATAATCTGCAGTACATTGACCGAAGAAACAGACATGGTTTAAGCGGAAAGTTTACCTGATACATCTGCTGTTCTGCTTTAAATCCTTGTCTTTCAATCTCTAGTTTTTGTAAACTTTGATCATTTTCTCGTCTCAGGTCGGAGCAAATCTTATCCTGTCTCTCTTCAATCTAAATAGCACGGTATTTAGTACAGTCAGATTGAAATCAGAGTGCTTCGTACCACTCTTTAAAGTTCATAAATCAGCCTTATACAATGTATTGTGAACAGGGTCAACCCAGACCAAAATATATTTTCAAAATTGTGGAACTATAAACACCTACTTTATATAATCTATGAGGTTTAAATCATCATCAACGCCAAATTTTAAATAAATCTTTCTGATGGATCTGCTATTTATGTTATTCTATTATCAAAAATAAACTTGTTTTCCCCCATATATAATTATATAATTTTTCCAGATTTGTTATATTTACCTGCTTTTTCACAGTGTGGAGTTTATCTCTCTCCATCCTAGATTGTTCAAGCTGCTGTTGAGTTGTAATTAATCGAACCTTTAGTTCCTCTACCTCCTAGTATTATTANCTCGTAGCTCTCTTAGTTTTAATTTTATGCACAAGTGTAATAAAATATAACTTATTTGGATGCATTTATTACAAAATCAGAACATTTTTGTTCTTCTCAACAGCTCTTCAATAAGAGAAGCTATGATTGAAAATATTTAAGATTTTTACCTTACTTGCACTTTCTTTAGTTTGACATGCAATATTACCTCACAAGTATTCCTAAGTTCAAGTTCAGCTTGAATAGCTCGTGATTCTTCTCTCTGCTTTTTTAACTCTGTTTTCAATGGATGTATCCTGGGTGGCTTCTGTTTGTGAGGCAAAAATAAATAAAGACTGTCAGAAATCGTGATGCTTTATGATTAGTTGATTCAGAGAGACAAGGATTCAAATTTAGAGGGACTGCACGTATGATTTGGGGGTTTAAAAAAGGAAGATTAAAAATTGTTCAAAGAGGCCGTTCACTTATTTGTGAAATTCTTAAATATAAATCAGCTTTTTCTCCGTCCACAGTAATCTTTGAAAAGTAAGACTAATACCAATTAACAGCTGTTTAGTTTAACATGAAATAACCCAAATAAGAGAACGGTCCCTTTAAAAAAGGATCGACCGTTTAGGCTTTAGATATATTTTAATGAAATCATTACAAATTAACATTTGTCAAGCTTAAAAAAATACAAAATTTTCTCACATTTTTGTAAGCTGAAGATAATGAATAATTTAAACATCTTGATAAAAGAATAATTTATACAGGGAACACCAACGATTAAAATCTTCTTTACTTGTCATCATAACTCCACTTATTTGCCGGGCCATCATAACTCCACTTATTGAACCGAATAAATTTGCTTTTCTCATACTTGTTTGTTAAAACTAGAGGAGCTACAAGGTCACAAAGTCATACCAGTAACGTAGCTTTGTCCTTCTCTTTCTGTCTAGCTTGTAGTGTGGAAAGAGGGGGATAGGTTCATGATAAAATAGAGCTTTTGTGTCACGTGATTGAAATGAGGAAGGGAGGAATGATTTTGAGTGTATCAATATCAATAAAGTGATTAAAGAAGGAATCAATATGGTTACAGATTTGGGTGTTAAAGTATTATTTCCTTTTGTGATGATAGTCAGATAAATCATAGTTTGATTTAGTAGGTTTACCTCACAATATATTACAAGTTTTAGTTTAGAGTTTAAAGGTATACTTCACAAGATTTTACAAGTTCTAGTTTAGAGTTTAAAGGTATACTTCACAAGATTTTACAAGTTCTAGTTTAGAGTTTAAAGGTATACCTCACAAGATTTTACACACGTTCTAGTTTAGAGTTTAAAGGTATACTTCACAAGATTTTACAAGTTCTAGTTTAGAGTTTAAAGGTATACTTCACAAGGTTTTACAAGTTCTAGTTTAGAGTTTAAAGGTATACTTCACAAGATTTTACAAGTTCTAGTTTAGAGTTTAAAGTTATACCTCACAAGATTTTACAAGTTCTAGTTTAGAGTTTAAAGGTATACCTCACAAGATATTACAAGTTCTAGTTTAGAGTTTAAAGGTATACTTCACAAGATTTTACACGTTCTAGTTAAGAGTTTAAAAGTATACCTCACAAGATTTTACACGTTCTAGTTTAGAGTTTAAAGTTATACCTCACAAGATTTTGCAAGTTCTAGTTTAGAGTTTAAAGGTATATTTCACAAGGTTTTAGAAGTTCTAGTTTAGAGTTTAAAGGTATACTTCACAAGGTTTTACAAGTTCTAGTTTAGAGTTTAAAGGTATACTTCACAAGATTTTACAAGTTTTAGTTTAGAGTTTAAAAGTATACTTCACAAGATTTTACAAGTTCTAGTTTAGAGTTTAAAGTTATACTTCACAAGATTTTACAAGTTCTAGTTTAGAGTTTAAAGGTATACTTCACAAGGTTTTACAAGTTCTAGTTTAGAGTTTAAAAGTATACTTCACAAGATTTTACAAGTTTTAGTTTAGAGGTTAAAGGTATACTTCACAAGATTTTACAAGTTCTAGTTTAGAGTTGAAAGGTATACTTCACAAGATTTTACAAGTTCTAGTTTAGAGTTGAAAGGTATACTTCACAAGGTTTTAGAAGTTCTAGGTTAGAGTTTAAAGTTATACCTCACAAGACTTTACAAGTTCTAGTTTAGAGTTTAAAGGTATACTTCACAAGATTTTACAAGTTCTAGTTTAGAGTTTAAAGGTATACTTCACAAGGTTTTAGAAGTTCTAGTTTAGAGTTGAAAGGTATACTTCACAAGGTTTTAGAAGTTCTAGGTTAGAGTCTAAAGGACTGCCAACGTTATTTCGAGAAATGCACTATTTGGAAAAAAAGGCATGTTCGAATGCCTAAGGTACCCTCAAACTAAATCTGATATTTTTATTCACTAGCCATGCTATTTGAATTCTCAAGTCGCTTTAATAGAGAATTCTTCAATTTCAAGATAGAAGTACATATCTTGATCATTTTTTTATCGAACGAAGCTAGGTTTAAAAGGTTGTGAATCGAACATGTCCTATTGAAATTGGGCTCAATTTAAATTGCGTCTCTAGTCCTTGGAAGTTTAATTCCCAATCATTTATAATCTAAAGGGTGTCCCAACAAAGATGGGAATTGAGATACGACTTGAATATCGTCTTTGATTTTCGATAACTGATTAATAACATAAAATGCATTGAACAAAGATTGAACTTATAATAAGATTTTATAAATGTGTTCTACCTGTTTTGTATCTCTAAATTTGAGGGAGATATTAAACCTTTGAATAGTTTTGTTGATTTTTAATTAACTGGAATCTGGACAAATTTACTAATATATCCGTCAACTTTGAAGGTGAACCAAATGGTAGACCACATTTTGGAATTCCCGAGACTAGTAGTTTACGGTGTTAAATGTTTTAACTATGATACTACAAAATCATATTTACGAAATAATCCCGCTTGGAGAAAAATCGTCATAAAACTCCCTATTTTTTTTGACACCCTGTAGTTAATCACTTTAAACTATACAGAAGGAGAATATCAAATTTATACGACATTACTGGTACGGTCTTGAGACCTTGTAGCTCTTTTAGTTTTAATTTTATGCACAAGTGTAATGAAATATAACTTATTTGGATGCATTTATTACAAAATCAGAACATTTTTGTTCTTCTCAACAGCTCTTCAATAAGAGAAGCTATGATTGAAAATATTTAAGATTTTTACCTTACTTGCACTTTCTTTAGTTTGACATGCAATATTACCTCACAAGTATTCCTAAGTTCAAGTTCAGCTTGAATAGCTCGTGATTCTTCTCTCTGCTGTTCCTTGCTCATGGAGCTGAGAAGGTCATCCTGATCCTTCTTTATCTTCTCCAGGTTCATCTTCTCCCCCTAGAGTTGATAATGTGTCGGTTTGTTTTTGGATCGTTTTTTCTTATATTTTCTGTCGTGGTCAAAATTTGTCATTGTGTAAGAAAAGCGATTGTTTTTAAAATTGGTTATTCTAAACATGTGCTTTTCTTACAATTTGACAAATTTTAACCCTGACAGATAATATAGGAAAAATTGAAACAAAAACTATACAAAACGATAGTTTTTAAAATTTTCTTTTTTAGGATAACAAATTTGAAAATCGTCCTTAATTCATGGCAGTTTTGAAATATTGGAATATATTTATTAAGTTTAAAAAAACCGATTAACAAGACTACCTGTAGTTCCTGGTTCTCCTCTTTCATCAGTTTAATCCGAGCTAGCAGTGTCTCAAACAGAGCTACTGTTTGTAACAACAGAGATTTTCCTCCTAAATAATAGATAATAGATTCATAACCAAAAATTGCCAGAATCAGACGACTTTAAGTTTATATCACTTGTAATTTTATACGTACAGTAAAAGCAGACCACAGTTTGAAATTGGTAGGACTAATAGGACTGTTTTGTTATTATCGCTTCATTATTCATATCTTTTAAATGAAATTGTAAAGTCGTCTGATTAATTATTAACTATTCCGGGTCTTTCTGATTATGACGTCATTTAAATTATTCGTTTAAAGGAACTGTAAGTGTAATTTACAATGGTACCCTTGAAAACTTAATCTAATCAAAAATGTGGAAGATATCGTTGTTTTCCTGTTGAAGATAATATAATTTCGTAATTGCTTCGCATTAGCAAAATAGAAATAGAAATAAAAATGAAAACAGTTTTATAAAACACAAACATGAATTAATTTAAACTTGATCAGACAAAGCGTTAAGGGTACCGTTGTAAATCGGACATGTCCGTATTTTCTCGGAGGGTCAATTGAAATTACGCTTACAGTCCCTTTAATTAGGGGTAAGGACAATTTTTTCTTACCTGGTTCTGGAATATGTTTCATCAGCTCATGAAGCTTCAGTTTTGTATCTTGGATTTTCTCATTCTAAAATTCAAAATTATTTGTATAAGTTTATACTTCGTAGATAATTGTTCTTTAGATAGATTTTCCATTGATAAATATATAATATGATACATTAATCATAAAGATACCTAGATTATAAATATGTAGATAGATATAGATAGATAGATAGATAGATAGATAGATAGATAGATAGATAGATAGATTGATAGATAGATAAATAAATATAAGTATGGATAGATAAACAGACAGATTTCTGGATGATGGAAAAATAAAAAGATAGATCGATAGATAGGTAAGATATATGAAAAGCCTGGTTGTATGCCTTTTTCTGCTTGTATGCCTGTAACTGCTTGTAACTGCCTGCATATTGTATAACGCTTGAAAACTATTTGCCCCGGGTTAGATTTCTCTCTATTCAAATTAAAAACACAATACAACATATTAATAAAAATACAAAAAAATTTAGATTATATCTCCTTTGTATTGAGTCAATAAAGCATATATTTCAAGGGCAAAGATTCTTTTTTAATAATTGTTTGCCTTATTATTGGTATTATTATTATTATTATAAATCTTTATAATAATGAAAATACCAATAAATAAGGCAAACAATTTTTTTAAAGGACTGGACTTGAAAGAAAAAAATTAACATTCAAAATTAGATAAAAACTATCAAACTTTTATTAAGGGCAAAAACAGGGGAAATGTAAAAATTGTACTTAGTATTTTCAAAAATTCCTATACAATACAGTAGCAATACCAATAAGGCAATTATTCTTGTTGCAATAATTTTTACCATTGTTTTTAAATTATGAAGTTATCTATAAAATAAAAAAGACATTCGTATATATATAAATGTTGAGAATAGCCAGAAACTTAGGATAGCCGGGGGGTGTTATAGGCTAAAAAAAAAATTTAAAAATTTTTGCAACTTTTATCTTTCCCAAAAATTAAGATTTTTTTTTCACGGGCAACGCCGGGCCATTCAGCTAGTAAGACATACAACTTGAAAAGAAGACAATAATCATTCTACTATTTTCTGGTTGTCACTGTATCAAATACTAAAGAGAAATATTGCACTGCTCAGTAATTCAAAAAAAGCTCGATTCCGTTCAATTTCTAAAAAATTAAAATTTTTGAATTTCTTTGTATGCTCACCCTGAAATCTCTATGGGTCTCTATGATATCCTCTAGAGTAGTTTGTGAAGAGCAACCAGAGTCTACATTACCACTGCAAATAAAAGTATGTCTAAAATTAAAATTAAAAATTAAAAACATATTTTTGAAATGTATCTATATAAATTTTGTAATCAATACCTTGCATGGTAAGAGTTTTGATTGCCAAAATATATTCTACGAAATTAAAATAAATATACTTGTTGAAAAGCAATTCCATTTACGGATTTGGTGCATTTTCTGAAGACATATATTCATACATATATAATATAATATATATAGCTCAAATTCATGCCATTTCATCTATCACATCCATATCTCATGCATGGAGTAATACATACACTTTCATGGAGCGAGAATCAATTAGGTCGTCAAATCACTATGCTTTTTTGTTCTAAAATTTTTTTTAATTAAATATTATCAATAATACCCTTAACGTCTCAAATTGTTTGGTTTTGTCTTGACTATTCATTGATGAACATATTATTTTCTCATAATTAGCTTTTAAATACTAAACCAAGCCATGTGCACATATGTGATTGCACGAAATGGCTCGAACGCCTCTCCATATTAATCTTCTCCGTAAATGTTACAACCGAATTCTCTTCTTGTTAACTATGTGAATGTAGTTGAACTGGCTCGAACTCCTCTCTATAAGTATATACTCCTTGGCCAGACGCAAGGCTCAAACTCCTCTCTATATTCATTTACTCCATGAACAGACGAAGTGGTAAGAACTCCACTCCATTTTGATTTACACCGTGAACAGTCGAAATGGGTCACATTCCTCTCTATGTGTATCCACTCCGTGAACAGTCGAAATGGGTCACATTCCTCTCTATGTTTATCCACACCGTGAACAGTCGAAATGGCTCACATTCCTCTCCATATTATCCACACCGTGAACAATCAAAATGGCTCACATTCCTCTCCATATTATCCACACCGTGAACAGTCAAAATGGCTCCCATTCATCTCTATATTTATCTACTCCGTGTACAGTCGAAATGGCTCACTTTCATCTCTTTATTTATCCACTCCGTGAACAGGTGAAATGGCTCACATTCATCTCTATATTTATCCACTCCGTGAACAGTTGAAATGGCTCACTTTCCTCTCTCTATTTATCCACTACGTGAACAGTTGAAATGGCTCACATTCTTCTCCTTATGTATCTTCTTCATGAACAGACTAACATTTTCTATAATCATCTATTTCGTGAACATTAAAACGATATGGACCGAATTCCTATTTTTTTGTACTTCGTGATTAGACGACATGGCTTGAACTCCTCTCCATATGTATCTCCTCCTTGCCTAGACGACATGGCTTGAACTCCTCTCCATATGTATCTACTCCTTGTCTAGACGACAAGACTCGGTCTCATTTCTATATGTTTCTACTTTGTGAACAGACAAAATGACTCGAACATCTTTCTATATTTATGTACTTCGTGTTCATGGAGGCGACATGACTCAATCTCCTCTCCATATGTATCTACTCTACTTGATCTATCCTACCTTTAACTGCAATTCTTTTCATCAAATTCCTACAGAATCATTGTATAAGAAGAATCCCAGGATATTATGGTTCGAATCTAGCTGAAAACTCGACCCACGCAAAATACAGTTTTTGCGAAGACAGATCTAGTTTGTCAGCATATCTTGAGTCAAATTTGCAAATCACGAATTCCTTATTTGTAAGATGCATATTTATTCTTTTTTGATGATCTTTGTCTAGTGTAAACAGAATGTCTACGACCAATCACAAAAGACGATAAGTAAATTTTGCAAAACAGCCTGAAATCGCATGTTTGCTGCGGTTCCATATCTTTTTAAAAATTGTCGTAATCTTCCTAAATTCGTCCTTATAGCTCCGGGGTTCATTTTATACTCTTGTCGTGGTTTACCTGTGGATAGAGATAGAATCCTTTTCCTCTTTCCGTCCTAGCTCCGGGGTTCGTTCTCTGCTCTCCCTTTGCTCTAGTTCCAAGAGTCTAATACAATCATAGATTAAGTTTTTTTCGATAAGTTGTTCTGCCATTATGTTGTTTTGTTTTATTTCATGTATAGAAAATATCCCAATTGAGTCTTTGCCACAAATTCAAATTTCTATAACTTTATCTTTGTAACCTTTGTTAATTCTAACTTAGATTATTTGATCTAACAGAACTCATAGTTTGATATATCTAAGGGGTCCGACATTAGTTGCAATGATATAGGGATTAGAAAATCAGAGCTTGTGGCAAAGACTCCATTTCTTTTATGAATTCCTGTCATGGCATTGCATAACCACCTACCCCCCCCCTTACATCCCTCAATCTTCTCCTTCCCCCCCTGCAGTTTACCTGAACTCCAATAGATCTGAAGTATCTCTAGCATCTTTCAATTCTGTTTCCATTTTCTTCATTTTCCACGCCATTTCTTTAGCTAAACAGAAAAGTTTTTGTAATGAAAATTTACTAGCGGGAGAACTAGGCTACCCAAGGTTTATATTATGATACATAGTGTCATAGATAATCCCGCCGTTTACCCGCGCTTGGTATTAAATCATGATTTTGGCTTAGGTTCTTGTGGATTTTCAAAATTTGCATACATGTATTTACCACCAGGGTACCAAGTGTTTACTCAAAAATATTCAACCAATTTGGTCAAGCCTATAATCGTTGTCCTGTACCTTGTCCTGCCAGCTTTGAGTGTTCTTTGTCCAGATTTCTGTACATCGTCTCATAGTCAGGCGTTAATATCTAAATATAAATAATATAAAATAATTAGCTTAATTAGCTTTACTTTGATAATGCTTTGAAAGTCGTTTAATTCGTGGAAATGGGTTTAAATGCCTAAAAGCACATCTCACTGTTTTAAACTTGTCAAGTTTTTTGTTTTGTTTTTTAGCTTTGAAAAGGGAACTTATTACTTGCCTCAAAATCTTTGCACCTATGATATTTCAAACTATGACCTCCTGATTTAAGAGAATTCAAAGTTGGAACCTTCAAGAGTCTACGACACTAGGTTGCAAAAATATGATAATTAGAAAATTAGAGTTTGAGGCAAGTAGTTAGTTCCTCTAAATGAATTTTTTTTATTTAATTTTTGTTATTATCGTTCTTGAAGGACTGATAGAAATTAAGTTACAAGCCCAAGTTATTCTATCTACAACAGTTAACAACTTTTTTACGAATAAGAACAATTTACGAATGTAAAAATGTAACTATAAAAACAGGCTTTTAAGTTCTTTTACTATCTTTATTTATATTTTTCCTCCTCTGATAAACCTCCCTTCAACTCTACGATTATTAACATGCGGGATATCGAGGTAAGATTAAATTAATCTGAAGATTAAGCATTGATCTCGATATTCAAAATAAAAGAGTTCCAAGTTCAGTTTCTCCAACTCTCTCCAGAGATTTGCATAATTTAGCGCTGAACCATGTTTATTGTATATTATATATTATTCTATCTCATTGTTTACATGAAAACATATTAAATATTTTTTACCTAAACATGTAAATATTATATTTATTGCGTAACATTTGAGCCAAGCGTACGCGGTTAACAATTAAAAGGCCACAAAATGCGTCAATGTTCATTATGCATGAGTATAGAAGGCGTAGCTACGCAATTATGGGGTTTGGAGAAACTCTCCTAAATATAGTTAAAGGAGAGAAGGTTATGTTTCCCCAGATATAACCTGGGGCTGAACAAGCCTCTTGCCTTGAACAGGTGATATCATATTCGCTTAGAAATGAACCAACCATTTCATTTTTTAAACAACTAACATTCTAAAATAAAAAAAAAGATAAAAACTTTGAAAAAAATTCCATCCCTGGTCCAACTAACTGGACGCTTCCTTGCGTAAAATTTCTTGACGCTTATCCTGCGTATGTCCAGCTGGAGGGTTTATAAAACTGCATGACGGAATCGTGAGAAAAGTATTCGAGGATATTATATCATTATATACTTCAAGACTCATACTGTCAATTCTAATATAATCCATCACGACTTATATATCAGAAAATCAGATTGTGAACTGAGAAAATGAAATTTAAGAATTTATTTCAGATTTATGACGTAAAATCAGACCCAGAAATTAGTTTGCACACAAAACTTCAAGTTAAATTTAGATGGTGTAAACCTTAGAATATTTGATTTAATAAAATTAATAGTTTAAAATATCAAGGGTCAGAACTTAAAATCAGATTCAGAATTAAATTCAGATTAAGCACTAAAATGCAGATTCAGCACTTAAGATCAGATTAAGAACACAAGATGTGGTTCAAAACTTGACTTCCCACTAAAAGATATGAATTTGTATTTTCTCTAAACTCTCCAATCAGCCGATGTGATCGATTGGATGATTTTTCAAAATGGAATATGGTTTAAAAACATCATGATTAATAGAATGACAAACATTAATAAAATAGAAATTTAACATAAAAATTTCATTTCTTTTAACTTGGAGTATCTAGAATATGATAACAAATTATTCAAAATGTCGAGTCAACAGTTTCTCTGTTCTCTATAGATACTGGATTGTAAATAAAATTTGTAAGGTTTAAATTGTATTTCTTTGCGCTAACTTTACGCTAAAAATGATGTTTAAAATATCTGAAATATACTTTTCCCTTATTTTCATAGGACAGCGTTTATGCCAATTCAATGAAAACAACTTTTATAAATTTTAGTTTTAATTTCTGACAAGCTTTTTCATTTTACAAGTTACTAAAGTAAACAAAGAGAAGCTTTTAATTGAGCTTCTCTTTGCTTCCATGTTTATATCATATCTGTTTGAAAGCTGGATAGAAATAAAAATTGAAACCTAAAGTCGTCTTCATTGTATTGATTTATACGACAACGACTGTATGATATCTATTAGTGAAGGATTGAAACCCCCATGGTGCCGATATAATATTAAAAAGAGGAGAAACTAACCCGGGATGACGTAACATTATTTGGGCAGATGACGCTAACGTATTGGGCAGAATCTTAGAGTTTAGAATAAGAATAGAGAGGAGTCGTTTTAAAGGCATGGTAAATTTTCAATTTCTCCATGTTATTGCCATGTAAATTTTCGTTCTGATATCTCTTAAAAGCCCCGTACTACGAAACAATGCGTATTATTAATCAATGAAACATTAAAAACTATTGATAAAGATATTTTCAAAATTTCATGACTGCCCCCAGCCTTAGAAGGATTAAATCAAATGGCCGTGTCATAAAATAGAAATTTAAAACTCCAGCCATATTGATATTTTTAAACGGACAACATATGCATATTTTGTTGTGCTTCAACTCTTCAAAATGAAAATAAAAATCGAAAAACATACTGTCACCATTTTCTTACAAAATAATACGACAATTTAAAAAATAATATTGTTTCGTAGGAATTCAAAGTTGTATTTTAAACCTCGTATGTAATAATATTTTCCATTTCATTTGATTTTTTTCTTCAATTTATGGTTTACGTTTTATTAGTTATGGTTCGTGGGAAAAGTTTTCTTTATTTTATGTTTGGTAAAATTTATCACACAAAAAAAAATTTTAAAAATGTCTCTTTTTAAAGGAACCGTCGTCACTGTAAAGCGTTCATTCCGAGATTCATTTTGCTCTTAGGTCTTTTTTTTTGGTAAATATTTTTTTTAATTTTTCTTCCTTTTCTCTGATATGACGTCATTTTCGCCTCTTTAATCAGTGACGTCATATTAGGTTTTCGTCTATTGATCTTAACATCTTTGAAGGGAATCCTGCTGTAGTAAATGCCCTACTCCATAAAAGTCTTTCAGACCCGTATCAATCCAGGTAAAACTTAATCAGAAACTAACAGTTCCACAAGACCACTATCAATGTCAATCCGGACACGTCTTTATGGGTACCAATACTCATTCCCTCCCATTATGGCTGACGAGGCACAAGAGCTATTCAGTTCAACAATACTTTACTATCAATGTCAATCCGTACACAACTTTATCTGTATCGATTGATTCAGGACGCTACTCGTTCTCTAACCAAGAAGTAATTACTCTCTCACTGTAATCAAAGCGGAGTCTAATTCCAATATTTAGATATCTATGTTACAGGTTAGGTTAATGTACGTATTTACAAGATTTGATCAGATATATACAAGCGTAGTTAAGCTAATCACAATACAGGTATGACTTAGTTATTTACAAACGTAGCTAGGTTAAGTTAATCGCAAAACAAGTTTTGGGAAGCTATTTACAAGCGCATTTAGATTTACAGACAATGAACATCGTAATATATCTAGGTCTGTTCAGGTTAACAAATATAGGGTTTGATACGATATTTGTTACACTGTTTGTATCGGAATATTTTCAGTCATATTTTAGTTGAAGTGCCCGGCGTTGCCCGTGGAAAAAAATTGAAAAAAATTTGAAAAAAATACAAAGAAAAGATTATTTTTTAAAAAAATTTCGATTTTATCAGCTTTAACACCCCCCGGCCATCCATGAGTGTCCACAAAAAAATTCAGCCCAATCGGTCCAGCCGTTTTGCTGGCTATACGCAACATATATATGAATGTCTTGTTTTATTATAAAGATTGTTAATATTTGTATATCAATGCAAACTATAACAGAAGGGGAAGGTTCAAGTTGAAGCGGCATTATCTGGTTTGACTTTGTGACCTCGTAGCTCCTGTAGTTTTGATCTGAGCACAAGTATGAGAGAAGCAAGAGAATACAGCCTTTACCACAAACTCAATTTTTTGAATCCCTATTTCTATGCAACCTGATACTGCAACCTGATACATGTAAACCTCTTTATATTATATGAATTATGATTGAAAACATGCAAGATTTAAATCTTACGTGAAATTTAGTTTAGTTTAACGTGCTATGTTGTGAAGTATGATGCTGAACCACAAACAACTATTAACTCGTATTTGAAATTACAAAAATACCCATTAGGGTTAAACCCTGCATGCAATAAAACAATACAGCACAAACGGAAGTATAGAAGATTTACTTTTAAAGAGGATGAAAAAAACATTTTTTAATAGAAATAAAAACTCATTTATTTCATTGCAAAGAAAATGATCACTTATCGCAACTCTAATGGTGTATTCCATGTATCTTTGCAAATTGAGGATTTCATTCTTAAAAGCAAAAGTTCATAGTCTACGACATTAGGTTGCAAAGATATAGCGATTAAAAACCAGAGTTTGATGCAAATCTATGTAATAAAACAAGACATTTGTATTAAGATATGTTGCGTATAGCCGGCTTAACGGCTAGACCGATTGGGCTAACATTTTTTTGGAGACACTCATGGCCGTGACCGGTAGATGATAGGCTTAAAAAAAATCAGATTTTTTTTCAAAATTTCTTTTTCCACGGGCAACGCCGGGCCCTTCAGCTGGCAATCTAGTCTAATTCGTATATATGTCACCGAAGCCGGCCAAACGGCTGGACCGAATGGGCTGTAATTTTTTGTGGACGCTAACCTCTCCTCGTAAACCATGGATCAACTCCAAGCTCTGGTTAAGCTCGTCTTTCAATCTAAATATTCAAAATATTATTTTCGATCTTTCCTTTTCCTGTCCTTGGTTTGTCCTTTAATCTGGTGTCCTTTCCATTGTGAAGACATACATCCCTATGGATTATCCTTTGACCTCTCCTTTGTCTTACCTCTGTTAATTTGTGGTCCTTCTCTTTGTACCGTTCTTTGTTTTGAACTTTTTTGTCCTTGATTGTTTCTTTAATCTTCCCTTTGTCCTATCTTGTCCTGATTTGATCGTGTATTATGCTGCCCCTGTATAAATATTGTGTCCTATAATTTACCTTGCCTTTTGTTCCATCCTATATAATTTCTTTTGACATGTTTTTACTGGAGATCTGTGTCCTTCCCTTGTCCTCACATCTTTTTTTCCTTTGTCAAATCCTATCCTGTCCTTTACCCCCCCCCCCCTACTCCGAACTGGCAAAAGTGTTACTCATCCTTATCCTTATCCTTATGAGTAGTACACTATGCAGCTGATATCCGAGTTCTTGCTGATCAAAGTTTTTATAAATAGACATGTGTTCAAACCTTGATGCCAATTTTGGCAGGTTGTCAATAGTTGTCAAGGTATAGGATCACAATATATATCAGACCAATCGTTAAAAAACATCGGGTAACAAGGCGTGCTCTACTTACTTGTTAACAAACAGAGTTCTGTGTTTAAAGTAAAACAGAATGATTAAGTTTGAACAAAAATAGTCTGTTTTACGCTTTTTAAGGCGTAGCCGCGCAGGAACGAATAATTCTGAATTTATTTGTCTTGGCAATTTACATCGTTTTTCTAATAAAACTTTTTAGGTTTTTATTGCAGATTTAAACCTTTCTTCGAATTTATTAGTTGCGCATTTTAAACAAATTGGAATAGTGTAATTGTTGAAAAAAATTAAATAAATAGCACTAATAAAAATCACAAATAAACAGATAGAGTATTTGCACGTACTAAAATTTCAAGTTTAAAAAATGAGGCTGGTTGAATGGGGGGGGGGGGGCGTATGTACAAATTGGGGAAAGTCTGCCAAGCTCCGCTCTTTTTGTGCCTATGATGTGTATGGCAATGTTTATTTTGCAAAATTTCTCCAATCTATCATACTCATCATTCGTCTTATACATCAATCCGTCATCTCATAAAGGATGCCCCGTATAGGCAAAGTATATCCATTCATTCTATTTTTGTTGTTGCAAAAACGATGGATATGATTGCCAGAAAAATCAAGAAAGAGGGTTGGGGATGGGGAAGGGGAGGGTTAAACTCTTTAAGTATAAATAAGAAGGATTAAAATTTTTTTTTAAAGGAACTGTTGACATAATTTCAAGTAAACCCTCAAATAAAAGATTTACAGATCCGTTTAACAATGCTGGAACCCTATTTAATAAATCTAGCATGCAACAGATTCACTTGAAATTATCTCGATAATAGTCCCTTTAAGGTATAACATAGACACTAGACAGATAAAGCTAATTCGTGCATTTTAACAACTCTTTTCATATTGATTAAAAAGTGAAAATTACGAAATTTACTTAAAATAAAATATATTTCCCTGTAATTACAATATTCAAATTCAATGTATGGGTTCAAACTCCCTAGATATGACGACGGTCGGCGTTTATATCAATACAATGAAGATGACTTTTCTTTTAAGTTTGACTTCTAAAAAGCTTTTTCATGTTACAAGTTTACAAGTAAACAAAGAAAAGCTGTTAATTGACAGTGTTTTTCCATGTTTATATGTATCCATGATGGTTGAATTGGTTGAAATCAAAATTAAAAACAAAAATTGTGTTCACTGTATTGATATATATGATGACGACCGAATATATATAGGTTAAGGATTAATCAACTCAGTCTTTCAAACACAAAGGGTTTTTTTCTTATATACGCTCTGATATATGAACAGAGGTGAAGGGTTCACGAGTAAATTAAGGGGGAACGCAAAAAACCTAATCAAATTATTCTAATGTGTTTAATTTGGATAATTCTTTAACAAAAAATTCCTGTAACATACCAACGGTAAGATTATGTTTGCATGCCTACAACTGTAAGGCCCAGCAAGAAAATAATTTTAAATGGATTCGTCTTCATTTCGCGGATTTATTTGTACGTAGTCTGCCGCGTCAAGTTCTCACCTTTCAACCTCTTCATCCCGTTTTGAGAGGCGTCGCGAGACTGATTTAGATTCGTCACTCTTTATCTGGAAAAAATAGTGAATTGAAAAGTGACAAGCTTACATGCAGTGGAATCCATTTAAACAGTGAAATAGAAAGACAACTGTTAGATTTAAAACATAACAGACATCATGTACACAACCCCAGTTTACTTAAGTTAATTTTCAATCTGCTGATAAAACTGATATTTGCATCATAACAACATCACAAACACTTTTTTTATCAAATTAATTAAAATTGATGGCATTTTTTAGAGAATTCCATTAAACATGGCATGTATATTGTATATATAATGTATAAAACTAACAAAACCTTGTTTTTTCTGATTCTAAGCAACTAAGGCTAATTTCCAAAGTTTCCGCTTGCATTTGTAAAATTACAGTTTAATGCATGAAATTAGATAAATATTAGTCGGACGGGCGGGCTCTACATATTCTAGTAAAGGCGAAGGTTTGAAAATGCTTAAATACTGTGTATTGTATATCTACAAGGACCTTGGTGTCAAATAATTAGAAGATAGACTTGGAATTCTCAAAACTGTGGAAATTTCGTGTAAACTGACAATCTTTTGGCAACACTGAAGAAATTGTCAAAAAAAACACCCTTCCTGTACCCTACCAAATGCAGCTAAAATAAAAGGGGGGTGCACGTCTACCACCCCCCCCCCTTTCCTAGATTTAAAGGGTTAAAATCTAAATTATGAACAAATATTAGGATATAATCCTTTAACATTTATCTTATCCAACCCTTTTAAAAGCGCCAGAGTGTCTGAGTACATTAAAGTCTGTGGAGGTACAGGGTGTCCCACTAAACATCACAGTTGGGGAATAATTTAAAATGTCTATTTCAGTACTTTGTTAAGTTGTTTGACATAGATTTCAAAGTAAAATCTTTCTGAGTGAAAGATTTTCTTTACGAAATAAACTGCAGAAAGTCTTAAGATCTAAAACAGCATATGGAATATGACATTCAAAACAATTCACCAGCTGTCATGTTTCGTGGGACACCCTTTAAGTTTTTACTGTACAAAATATCTCATTTAACACAGTTGTACTTAGAGATCTGGTGAATACTTTAGCTTTTTATACTTCAAGTTCTTTACACCAAACCATCCCTTGACCGGGATCATGTCCCTCATTTATCATTTTACAGAGCTGGTCAAAAAACATTAGAGCTAGGGAGACATGAATATAATAAATTTACTAACCATGGGCATATCAGTAGTTCAATCAAATTTAATAAAATATACAATAATAAATATGTTAATTTTAAAGAACTAGCCAATTTGGACAAATTCACAACTTTTACTACACAAACGGTAATATTTAGTGATTAGACAATAAAAAATGCAAAATTGATGATTATTTAAAAAGATACCTGTTTATTCTTATGAAAGTCAAGTGTGGAGAAAGATGAATTACTGCTTGATCTAAAAAATAAATAATGTATCGTAAAATATAGATAGTAAGCAAAACCAGATTTAGTTCATTTAAATATATTTTTAGTTTAACCAAACCCAGGAATATACAGGGTGTTTTTATAAAGTGCTATTTTTTATTTCGTTTAGAGATTGATAAAAATCACCGAAAGATCGCCATTGTACAGTTTTGAAGAAGTATTGAATGACCGATTTTCTATCTTTTGGTGGATATTTGCCAATCTCTTCACCAAATCAAAAATAAGACTTTATTAAAAGCACCCTGTTGAAGTATTAAAAAAACCGAACACTCTCCACAAACTCTTATTTTCAATTCCTCATATCATTACAGCTTGATGTCGTATACTTTGATGTTTCATACTATGAAATCTGATAAATAAAATAGTCAATTAACCAATTCAGGTGTACACTCATAAAATGCAAAGAGAAAGAAGTGATACAATTATAGAGTTTGAGGCGAGTATATTAATATCTTCAAGGGATTACGAAATGTATGGGGGGGATGTGGGATACCGCCCCCGCAGCTACCCCTACCCCACTTAGATTGTTCACATATGATGTTTATAGCTATGGTTTATAGAAATATATCTAAATGATGATACATTAATTTTATATTTTGGACAGAACAATTTATAAAGTGTCAGTATAAGCTGTGAACTAGATATCACATAATCATGATATATGACTTATAATACAATTTCACAAGGCCCACTGAAACAAAAGTGAAATGAGTCTCCCTTTTTAGAAATATTAAATTTTCCAGTTGGTGTTTAAAGCAGTAAATGGGGCATGAATGTCTGTTTATGAGTTTCCCAGATGTCAGTTCAATTTCAAGTATTTTATTATTGCGCAATACTTTTCTTTATCATGTGGATTGTTTATTTTCTCAAGAAGACATGGATTCCCCCTCCCCCTTAATTTCTAACCCTATCAAACCCAAAAAAATAACTTCATTGGGGGCAAACCCCAATAATGGAAAAGAGGAAATATTTTACAAATTTTACAATACCCTGTTTAAAAAGTAAAAAAAAACCCTCTTAAGCAAATGGGGGTATTGAGTATTCCCATTTATCAAGGAGCAGACATCAACATTTAGCCCCCCCTTTTTTTCTTAAAAAATCCATAATTTCAATTTGTTCTGACATAATCCTACCTGGTCAGACTTGCAAAAGACGCGGAGACAGATCTTGTAAAGGGCGGAGCCGCCCTGAGGTTTGAGGCAGAGCCGGATGATCCTCTAGAAAGGTTTGTGGCGGAACCGGATGATCCTCTAGATAGGTTTGTAACAGACCCAGACATACGCTGCAGATTCACAGAAGAAGTCTAAAACAAGTTTTCTTTAAAGAACTGTTGACATTTTTTCAAGTGACCCTCTGTTTATTGATTCACTTCAGCACCCCATTAAAGCTTGGTTTAAAAAATAATTATTTTCAATTGTGATGTCTGCAACAGAATTATTACTAAACACTTCTACAGCTGGCACAGATCTTCGATATCGTCCACCACAGATCTGCGATATCTTCCACAACAGATCTGCGATATCGTCCACCACAGATCTGTGATATCGTCCACCACAGATCTGCGATATCGATCGTCCACCTGTTTGATCAGATGAAGGTTTAAAAAGCATAGTTGTGAATAGAACATTACCCTCTTAAATTTTAAATCATTTTCAATTTGCTAGTGGAGGAACAGGGTCTTCTAGTGTTGTACATTCAGGTTAGGAGTATATCATTAACACCGCCCCCCCCCCTCCCCCCTCGTCAGAAATATGAAACTAAGGAATTAAGTCTTTGCAACAAACTCTGATTTTCTTATCCCTATCTTTGGAGCTCAAAGTTGTAGATCTTAGATATTTCAAATTATGAATTCTGTTAGATCAAATAGTTCAGATTAGAAAATTTGAGTTTGTGGCAATGACTCAACTCCTTTAGCTTAATCATACATTCCGGAAATCAATTGAAGAAAAAGTAACAATGCCCTTGGCAATTAAGATAACAACAATTACAGGGTCTCTTATTGCAAAGTTTCTATTTACTTTTAGCGAACAATTTTAAATCAAAAAATAATTAATAAATGATAGGGATTAGTTTTAAAACCTAATAATAATTAAATAAAACTAATTTTACTACACCATTAATATATGTAATATGTATTTATAATAATGTCAGATTTTTTCTAGGTTTAAACGGATCTAATTCTGTTTTCTTGCATTAGAAATCGTCACTTTTGTAGAGAATACACAATTGAAAATAACCATATTTCAAGATTGTAAACATTGGTAAATAATTCATATTTGATCAGACAAAGCAATTATAAGGGTACCGTTGTGAATCGATAATGGCCATCATGAAGTTATGATTGAATTGAGGGAAAAAAGGAAGCTACTTTGGAGCTAAAAAAATCTAAAAATTGCGTAAATAACCTGTTGAAGAGCTCGCTTTCTTAGACTAGAATCATTTAGGTCAGAAGCTGTTCTTTTCATCTAAAAAAATACGAAATTTTTAAAACAATTCATTTAATATTATTTTGATTAATTCAGTTGAAACATTTTTTCCTTGCGTCCTTGGTGGTTTTATGCAAGGAAATACCCCTAATTTTATTCAATACTGAAATTTCAATTCAATAGTTCAATAATATAGAATTGCTTTTGGCGATAAAACTAACCAATTCATAAATATGAAATAAAGAAACAAAAAGTTGAACTTCTATATATATATATATATATACTTTGCTTGTCTGTCCGTCTGTCTGATTGTCTGTCAAAACTTCAAAAATTAGTCTCCAAATAAAATCGATCTAAATAATTAAATTTTGAAATATTTCTTTTATAAAATTCGCAAGGAGAAAATGTTTAATAAAAGAAAAAGATGGCCTACCTATTTAAATTTCAAAAATGGTATGAAGATATTATATCTGTCAATGTTTGTAGAAAACATTACGCATATAAAAAAAAATATTTGAAAAAGGAAAAAAGACATAATTCTGTTTTTTTGAAAACATTTTTTTTGGGATTAAGAATCAACATTTCTTGTGCAAATTGCTAAACGATTAGGCCATACTTGTATACCATCTATAATGACAGTTGATTTTAATGGTGTCTTTAGGATATCGCTATTAAAAAAAAGTTTCTGACGATTTCTGTTGTTTTTAAAACAGAACATTCAGATATTTGTTGGCCAACATTTTTGGGTGGGTTAAAAATGTTTTTTATTTTAACACCCTGGAAAATTTTAAATTGAAACTCAAACATGCAGAAGAGAAAAAAATGGAGTTGTCAATTACTTAGCTAAGGATGAATAGAGACAAAAATAGCAACTGTTTAAATTAAAAACCACAAATTAAACAAATGTGTTTTTGAAAATCGATTTTTTAAATGTCAGATTGATAAGTTTAATTTTTTTAAAGAAATGGGACCCGTGACTGATGATTTAAAGTAATCTTTAATCCTTCATCTACCCCCCCCCCCCTTTGTTCAGTCCTAATCTACCCCACTCTTCTGTGTCACCCCCCTTGTTCAGTTCTAATCTAACCCATTATGTTCTCATGATTAGTGTGAATGCTATCTAGCATTATATAACAGTAAGGTTGGTAACTATAAGTAACTATCTCTACATCTGAGCAGGGGCAATTCAATCATCAAGCTAATTTGAGGGAAATATAAGTTTTTTAAAACATTTGTTGGTGATTCTTGATACTTTTATTATTTTCTAATCCCTATATCTTTGCAACTCGATGGTGTAAAATTTTTATATTTCAATCGCCGTGGACTTAGCAGCCTAAGTCACGTTTTGGTCTAAAACTCAACAATCTTTATATTTACCGGTTGCATTTTTATCCGCATCTGCAGACAAAACGTTTTAAGAAAACTTATGTTTGCTAATAGAAATTGTGATTGAAAGTCACAGCTTCTTGGGAAAGGGCCATAACTGTTAAATTTGACTTTCAATATGGCAGAATTCTTGGACCTAAGGTTGCAAAGATAAAAGGATTAAATTAGTAGAGTTTGAGACGAATATTCAGTTCTTGAGTTAACCCACTCTAAAAGTTGCATGATCCGAGCCGGTACAACTGTATATGCATTCATTTGTACCGTCCAGTCTGGTCTACCCAGTGTAGAGTCGTCAAATCACGTTTTATGCAATAAATGTAGCATGGCAAGATCACAGTTTATTAAAAAAAGAAACTATACATTGACGGGAAAAAAACTAATTCCGAACCTTGAATCTTTAGATATTCTGAGGGTTCTAATTCCTCAAAATTGGGTTTACTGAACATTTTTTACTGATCTGGAGTTTTTAACATAGTTTTATTAGAAACAGGTACAGAAATTAAAAACCACATTATTTTTTAAATAAATATCTTTTGCATATCTCTGGAATGGAAAATGCTAAAACTCCATACCCCTAAAATGGATAAATTCATGCATTTTATCCCCTAAATGGGCCTTTATATACTTTTGTTGCTCTAATATACGCCCTAGATATTTGAAATGATCAAAATTCATAGAATTATGAAATGGGATAAATTATATACTATTTTCATCAATATATTTTCATAATATGTTTTATAATTTACATTTAGAAATTCACGTAAAATATGATTTTTGTCGACTTGTTAATCCTAAAAACAATGCGGCAGCAATCGATGTGTTAATTTAAAAAAGTTTCCCATTTTTTAACATTTTTTCATTTCCATCATGTCCGTCAGCAAAAACATGAAAATCCGCAAAATCATCTAAATGCTATTGTTTCTTGAATCTAAGAGAAAAAATTTAAAATTGTATTAGAGACAAGGGTTGCATTGCAGCGCCCTGAACTAGTTATAATAAACAATATATAAATTATACTAAAAAATAAATATATTTTTAATTAATTCTTAAAAAATAAATAAATATATATATATATATAATAGACACAACTAATCCACTCCTTTGCTCTATCTAATCAAAAGGTCATCAATACTAGCAATTAACTGTGTGAAATCTAAACGATGGGTTTAATCACTTTAAATTGTTGAATTGCAAGGATTAATGATTGTATTTAATTAAACCCTGGCTACCCTGCCAAAGGGTTTAAATTAGTAGATACCGAACCCCATCAGTCAGCGGAGCTAAATCTAGTTGGGGATTTCAAAACCACCCCCCAACCTCCCCCATATTTCCTTTTTATACAAGACTTTAAAATGACTTGTACAATAAAACCCTCCAGCTTAGACTTTGTAAACTTTGTAAAAATAATAAAGATGACGTAGATCAATGAAATTTCAAAGTACGAAATATGCTAGATATATAAGTCAACGTTTGCTTTACAACATCGGATTCAAAAGTTATGGATTAGAAAATTTGAGTTTGAGGAGATTTCTTTTGTACAGGTTTTGTTCAAAGGGACTGTTAGCATTATTTCAAGTGACCCTCCATGCAAAGTTGCCAATGCCCGATTCACATTGGTACTTTGTCTGATAAGGTATGAATTAGATATTAGTGTTTGAATTTTTGAAAACTGCTAATTTTCAATTTTGGTATCTTTATAAAAGTGAATAGCGCATTTCTACTGCAAGAAAGCAAATCAAAATTATCAGAAATTAACAATTTTAAACCTCAAAATCGACAATTTCTTCCACATTATTGATCAAATACCGGTTTTAAGGGTAATGCTAAAGGACATTACCATCTTTGCATGAAGGGTCACTACGCGTACAGTTCTTTAAAATAAATCCTAGATCGACATATTTACTGAACAGAAATTCTTAAATCATCCAATTTGATAAATTGAAATAATGACATTTTTTGTAAATATCTTGATGCAAGGACCTATTTTAAGGACAACGCATGTGATAAGCTAAAATGATCATTGATTGTGCAAAGCAAATGGTTTAAGGTGGCTTCTAAGAAATTATGGAATATAAGATAAAATACCATAATGTAGAATTAATAAAATTAGCGTTTTTGGGAAGTTTTTTCTAATAAAGGAATTGAGTCTTTGCCACAAACTCAAATCTTCTGATCCCAATATCTTTGCAATCTGATGGTGCAAACCTTTGATATTTCAAACTTAGATTATTTTATCTATAAGTATTGATAGTTTGAAATATCTAATGTCTACGACATATTGGGTTATAAAGATATAGAGTTTAGAAAATCAGAGTTTGTGGCAAAAACTCAATTCCTTTCTTAGTTTAAGATTTTCCATAAATTCTAATATTTTTGCAAACCTTACCTCAAGTTTAGAAGTGGATTCCCATTTTCTCATTTTAGCTTCAGGTCTTGGTATCCTAGAGAATGGACCTATATGACCTCCCAGCACGCTCTGAGAGCCTCCTAGAACACTCTGAGGGCCTCCGAGGATGCTTTGATGACCTCCAGTGGAGTCATTTCCCTGTTTTTGTCCCAGTTTTGGTTTAGGAGCAATTGCGGGGCGTGGCATGTGGTGGGAAAGCAGCCCAGGGGGGGAGGAGCCCTCCCTCTGCATTGGGGGGCGGTACACCGGGGTGGAGCGCCCAGAGGAGGGCAAGGAGGGCGGAGAACTTGAATCCCGCCTTACTGGAATTCTGCTCCTTCTTTCTAGGGATGCATCACGTGACACTGTTTCTATAGAATTGAAGAAAATATCCTGGACTGAACTCAGGCCTCCAGGTTTCAGGGACTCCATACTCGTCTCCCTGTAAAAAGTAACAAAAGTATTTTTCATCAGCTCTGATTTTTTAATCCCTATATCTTTTGAACCAAATTACGTAGACTTTAGATATTTCAAACTTAAAATAGCATCAACAAAGATATGGGGATTAGAAACTTGATTTTGTGGCAAAAACTCCTTCCCTCCTTTTTTAACCATTAAAAACTTGAGCTAGAATAAAAAAAGTTTTATATTTTATTTGGATTCTGTCCCATATCACGGATAGGTTAGGGAATTTCTTTTCTTTGGAGTACAGTGTATACCGATTTAAGGCAGTGGAAGCATGTTGTACAATATACAATAGTTTTCAAACAATTTTCTAAAAAATAATCCTATAACGATTTATCTTTCTAAGACAAATTTGATCATTTGAGTGAGTTTTCTAAAAATTAAATGCCTTTTTTTATTTTTAAATTTTTAAATGTTAATAATTTTTGTGGCAAAACAGGTGAGAAAATAGCGGGAATTAAATTAAATCGATAAAGTCGTATTTGAAATCTCGTTTTTAGTGTATAAGAATAATCTAATTCTGGAAAAAGTGTCGTCAAAATCAAAGTTGTCTGTCATTTGCAATCCTTAGAACTTAAATACTTTGATACAAATCATCTGGACCAGAAAAAAGTATAAAATACAAAGACAGTCAATTAATTCTTCAAATAAAATGGGATAGAAAGTGAAGCTTTACTGACAATTCAACCTGGATATTTGAATGTACAACATCATGAATTTATAGATGGGTAAATGCAAGGTTATATATAATGCAAGGAAAGTTAAATGCAGTAGCGTATACTCTGCGTACTTGTTGAGACCAGTTCTCTCTGGGCGGAATTTGTAAACATGAATAGATGCATCAGTGTTCATTTAGTATCCGAGGAGGATAAAAGTTTGATAATTTTGTTAGTTCACATTATAGTTTCCTATGACCAGATTATTTCATTGATTTTTTATGTGGAAGATGGATCCCATGTCTGGCTTTGACATCCGTCTTGTGTTTACATTACCGCTCAGATACAGTACACTGCAGTACAAAAGGTGCGCACGCTCCTGAAATAACTTTCCTTGCATTATAACCTTGGGTAAATGGGAATAATGTAGGAAAATAAAGACACAAAAAGTCAATTTATTTCTTTTAATTGAAAAAATCAGACTAAAAAAAGAGAAGAAGCAGGAAAACATAAAAATGAAAAAGACCAAACGAATGGTAAATATTATTTAAAACACACAAGTTGGAAATCATGGAAATGAAATAAAGAACAAAACAAAAAGTTGTTTACCTTTTTATTCAATTCTTTGTGACATTTGTCTTTTATAACACTTGTTTTTCACTAAATTATTTTTATAACTTTAAACAGAATCACTTTAGCAAAGGACCCGGCGCCTGTGTTGCACTGGCGCCTCGATATATTGAACTGGAGGGTATATGGCGCCTAGTATTGATGAGAGCGCCTACTGACCCCCGCGAAAATACGCGCCCACCACTCTCTGATGTTAAGCGCCACTTAGATTTAACTTCTGCCTGAGCGAAACTACTCATTATTCGTTTAAACTATAACAGCGAAACTACTCATTATTCGTTTAAACTATAACAGCGAAGATTTTGTATTCAGATTAATACATTAAAGGCACTGTTGACCGTATTTCGAGTTATCTTAACTTTAAAGCGTTGCATTCCCAAATCACAACGGTACCCTTTAAACCCTGATTCTATAAAATAATATGCAGATTTTGGTTTCTCTGTAACAGTCTTGCAGAGTTATGCTCTAGAGAAAAAAGAAGGAAATTGACAGAATACAACAACACTTTCTACAATAACACAAACGATTATATTTTCCTCATTGCTGCTCAGAAAATGTTGTAGAAAAGCGAGGAATTGAATAAGAAAAAGGTGTATATTTACTGTTTAAATAAGCAAACAGCAACAAGAAGAGTTAGGTTAACCTAACTTACAGATTGTTATGAACATCATCAAGAGTGTTAGATATATCGAACTGTCTTCGGTGAACTTTAATATGTAGATAAAACACAACGATAGGTTTTCTTCTAACAATTATGCTATTGTTGAAATTCTAGTTTATTATAAACATTCAAGACACATCTTGTCAACTTGAAATACTATTTGTCAATTTCATGAATACCTTTCATGTAGAGAATTACCCCCACCCCCTTTGTCCTCAATCATCATAACCCCCCCCCCCAGGACCAAGCCTATTTAGAACTTTTAACACAGTTTAATCGAATTTCTATTTCCATAAACGTATATTCGTGCCAAACTAGGTTATTTACAGGGGGTTCCAATAGACACAGTGCGGGTCGAGTTCTTAAAGATTTTATTTTTAAATGGCCGACTGATTCTTAGTATTACAGGGTTACTCACAAAGGATGAGACTTCAGAGACGACTGTACAGAGTTGATACTATCATACTTACTTATATTCATGATTTCCTTCATCTGTAAACTGTTCCTTTCTTTGCCAAATCGTTAATAAAGCCATTGACAGTCAGAATCAAGAAAGAAGACTAAATTCAAGGTTATAATGCAAGGAAACTTAATTGCAGTTGCCTATATGCTGCGTACATATTGAAACCAGTTCTCTCTGGGGGGAATTTGTAAACAAGAATAGATGCATGCAGTGATTGTTTAGTATCCGTGGAGGATAAAAGTATTTAATTAAAATAATTATGATAATTCACAAAATAGTCTCCTTTGACCAGAATATTTCATTGATTTTTTATGTGAAAGATGGATCCCATGTCAGGCTGTGACATTCGTCTTGTGTTTACATTACCGCCCAGAGACAGTACACTGCAGTACAAAAGATACTTTCCTTGCATTATAACTTTGAATAAATTTAACTTTGAATCGCACGTCGTCTTCACAGTCTCATCCTTTGTGGGTAACCCTGTATAAGAACAAATCTGAATAACAAAATATCCGTCTTTAAATACAAAATTAAGGAAGGTTAATTTCACTGGTATGAAATAAAGAAATAAAGGGCTGAAAAGAAATTACCTATTTGCCACAAACTCTGATTGTTTAATATCTTTGCAACACAATGTCGTATACCTTAGGATTATCAAACTATGAATGCTGATAGATAAAATAATGTAGTCTTAAAATATCAAAGGTTTACACCATCTGTTTGCAAAGATATAAGGATGTGAAAAACAAAATTACATAAAAGAGGTAGTCAAGGCCCAAAGAAAAGAAGGGGGAAGGGAGAGGGTGAAGGGGGGAAGGGAGGGGGAGGTGATGAAGCGCAAACAGAGTATCTACAGTGAATTGAATTCCGATATATTAAATATATTGAGATTTATCTACTTGAACTGATCTAACAACGGGGAATATCAGAGAGTGATGGAGAGGTTTATAGGAAGGGGGGTTGTATTACAGCAAGAAACAATACAGTTGGCAAAAAAAACACTGACAAACAAAAGATAACCAAGCCTCAAGATCAACAAATGAAATAGTTTTATAATTATAATTTTTGATGCTATATGGAATAATAGAAATAATTGAATTTAATTTGTTGTATAATTAATTAGTTTAAATTATTGTAATTATCTCCTATGTTAAGTTTATGATTATAGAATATTCGCTGCCTGCAGTTTACTATTTGAAAATATACTTTTCCCTAATTTACACTGTACAGGCATAGATAAATAAATAAACATAGATAGCTAATATACGCCAAATCACCAAGAATTGTACAGTCCGCGAACTTATACTTCTAGGGGTCAAAATGTACTTCAATGATAAGCGGGGTGGTTTGGTGTTTTAATGGATTTAACAGTTATTAATAGTTATTTTGAGAATATTAAATTATGGGGGGGGGTTGAGGTAGAACATTTAAGGGTCATAGCTCAATTATTTTTAGTTCTGACTTATATTTCTCTCTACAGAACTCATGTACACCACATGTACTCAATGACATAAGAACAGCCAATGTTCACAACCGACTTAGTTAATCTATATAATAGGAATAACTTTAAAACATCTCTGTACATTTATATCTTTCAAGATGAAAAATGTCGTCTTATTCCGCAATCTATATTAATCTATGTGTACAGGGTTACGCACACAAATTCCGGCGTTAATGACGCCCTATTATTATGCAATTTTATTAAATTTTATCTTTTTTATATACAACCTTTAAAACTAATTAATTTGACAAAGAAAAAGCAAGTTTGCAGCACCAGGAGCTATAAATACGGGGCCTACGTTTAAGCAGCTAGAGTGATCTGTACAGTACAGTACACGTCATAACACTCCATAAGTCAAAGTGGCACAAGACATTAAATGAATCATCCTCCATAGTATAGAAGATATGTGCAATAAACTGTTGTACTAAAAATAGCAAGACGACTTTTAAACTCAATTGTTATGAATTTAAATATATGTTAAATGAACATGAGACACAACAATTGTTATTGTAAACAGAACCATTTCACTTAATGTGATTTAATAATTTATTAGTAAAAATGTATGTTTTGTAACAACATCAAATACACTTGATTATAGCTTTAATATTGTCTTCCTATTCCACAGTTTTCTGGTTCTCACTGTATGAATACAGATTATATTCTGCACTATAATCTTAATCTTTTCAAAAGTGGCGAAACCAAAAATAATAATGAATTTTATTAACTTTGATAAATCTACATATTTGAACATGTTTGAACATGTGTTGCTACAGTTGAACCCAAAAATCGTTGGAGAACTTTTATACAATCTTATGTATATTTAATTTTGTTATCCAGCAAATAGTTTTTAATTAACTTAAATATATATGTTTACTATGTACAGAGCTAAAAACTATTGTATTGTAAATACATATATACTCTATATCCCAATTGCTTAAATTCTGTATCCATTGTGGACACTTTTGATTAATCATTGATGATCGTGCGTCAAATTTCTATATTTCTCGGCTTCTAATTGGCTGTTCGGTTTTTACAATCGACACTCTGATTGGTTGCATTTAAGATAATTTTCTTGGATATTAATGTAAGAATAAATTAATCTTAAGAGAGGAGATCAAGCATTGATCTTAATATCCACAATTCTAAAGTTTCCAGCTCAATGTTTGAATGTACACTGTCATGTCAATTTGGACTAAAAGTCGTCTTCTTGTTTCATAGTTTTTGAGTCCCACTGTATAGTGAGTTATGACCTGTGCCCTGTGTATATGATCGTGAAGTATATTAGTGGAAAATGATGATGAAATTATCCTCGGTAAATAAAAGTATAAAAATATAAATATTCAGTATTTTTTCACGGATTACAGCTGATCGATTGATCACGATTCTAGCCTGGAATATCCAGCAAAACATCTATCTATTCTATAATAAGAACTAGCTAACTCTGGAATATCCAGCAAAACATCTATCTTTTCTACAGTTAGAACTAGCTAACTCTGGAATATCCAGCAAAACATCTATCTATTCTATAGTAAAACCAAGCTAACTCTGGAATATCCAGCAAAACATCTATCTATTCTACAGTTAGAACTAGCTAACTCTGGAATATCCAGCAAAACATCTATCTATTCTGCAGTTAGAACCATAGATAAATAAATAAACATAGATAGCTTATGTACGCAAAATCACTAAGAATTGTACAGTCCGCAAACTTATACTTCTAGGTTTCAAAGTGTACTTCAATGATAAGCGGGGTGGTTTGGTGTTTTAATGGATTTCATAACTATTAAACCACTCAGGAGTGAATTTTATTTTGAGAATCAAATTATCAAATTATCATATTGACGACAACTGAAGAAAGACATGAGAAGGACTTGACTAACCTATATTTCTCTTTACAGAACTCATGTGCACCACAAGTACTCAATAATATAAGAACAGCCAATGTTCACAACCGACCTAGTTAATCTATATAATAGGAATTTCTTTAAAACATCTCTGTACATTTATATCTTTCAAGATGAAAAATGTCGTCTTATGCGCAATCTATCTTTATCTATGGTTAGAACCAGCTAACTCTGGAATTAACGTCGTCTTTGTTATTCCTTTTACTTAAGAAGTGTAATAAAGTAATTTGCAATCAATTTAAGTAAGTATCGTTTCTCTGATATGTTTATATTTTTAAAGAAAAGGCGACATTACACTGTTAAATGAGTAAAGAAGACAACTTACATTTATTTGAAATTGGACTGCAATAAAATTAAAAAGTCACTTCAAATAGTAAAAACAACAAAAATTATCGAATAATTGGAAATTGAAAAAAATCATTTTAAATGAGTTTTAAAATAGTAACTGCAGCTATGGGACTCTGAATCATGTATTTATCCCTTAGATAAGCTGGTTACAGCTATCAGAAGTCTCTGTTTCAAAATAGGTCGCATACTGTGGACGCACAAAACTGTGACATATATATACATAGGTTCATGAATATATCGCAACATTATGTAGTAA